TGATCACAACTCATACAATTTTGTTTATTGTACATGTTGATGCCTGTTTTATGACTCATGATTGGACAAATTTTTTAAAAATTATATTTGTAAAATCTCAGCGATATTGAAATGAGTAATTCCAACGTTTCGTTCGGCAATCTGGTCCGAACTTCTTCAGGGAAATTAATCGAAATTAACATAACAGAGGTTTATATATAAAAGGAACATCTCTTATTTTTAAAAAATTTGTCCAATCATGAGTCATAAAACAGGCATCAACATGTACAATAAACAAAATTGTATGAGTTGTGATCAAAATTTGACCTCAGACTTACAAATATTGATCTATCTTTGTTAAACACTTTAAACACAGTGTGTACGTGTGCCCAAATATTTTAGAACTATTCTGTCAAATCTTGACTACAGTTCATTTGACTTATTTTGCAATCGAATTAAATTAACAAAGAAACTATGTAATTGGCACAATCATCGTGTTTCCACTCTCCGGTGTCTGCAACAGAATGTGTACCCTAAATCCGTAGCTGTCCAGTCAACTGACAACTCCAGTAGGTCGAATAAATCAGCTCAATTTTCAGAAAGAAGACAAAGTCATGAGTTTGACAGGGCGCTTCAACTAAACTCTAATCCTAAACACCCTAATCTTGAAAAAAACGTCTAATCATAAGATTCTAGATACTAACAGTTTGAACAGACATGAAGGTGTGATGTTAGCTGACGCATAGGAAATCCTGATTAATAAATAAGAATGGATATGTATCACTAACTAATAATACTTGATCAAAGTTCCTGACTGTCTATATCTACTTATGGAGACGTTGAGACATTGTTTTACAACTGTTTATCCGCACACGTACACACTGTGTTTAAAGTGTTTAACAAAGATAGATCAATATTTGTAAGTCTGAGGTCAAATTTTGATCACAACTCATACAATTTTGTTTATTGTACATGTTGATGCCTGTTTTATGACTCATGATTGGACAAATTTTTTAAAAATTATATTTGTAAAATCTCAGCGATATTGAAATGAGTAATTCCAACGTTTCGTTCGGCAATCTGGTCCGAACTTCTTCAGGGAAATTAATCGAAATTAACATAACAGAGGTTTATATATAAAAGGAACATCTCTTATTTTTAAAAAATTTGTCCAATCATGAGTCATAAAACAGGCATCAACATGTACAATAAACAAAATTGTATGAGTTGTGATCAAAATTTGACCTCAGACTTACAAATATTGATCTATCTTTGTTAAACACTTTAAACACAGTGTGTACGTGTGCCCAAATATTTTAGAACTATTCTGTCAAATCTTGACTACAGTTCATTTGACTTATTTTGCAATCGAATTAAATTAACAAAGAAACTATGTAATTGGCACAATCATCGTGTTTCCACTCTCCGGTGTCTGCAACAGAATGTGTACCCTAAATCCGTAGCTGTCCAGTCAACTGACAACTCCAGTAGGTCGAATAAATCAGCTCAATTTTCAGAAAGAAGACAAAGTCATGAGTTTGACAGGGCGCTTCAACTAAACTCTAATCCTAAACACCCTAATCTTGAAAAAAACGTCTAATCATAAGATTCTAGATACTAACAGTTTGAACAGACATGAAGGTGTGATGTTAGCTGACGCATAGGAAATCCTGATTAATAAATAAGAATGGATATGTATCACTAACTAATAATACTTGATCAAAGTTCCTGACTGTCTATATCTACTTATGGAGACGTTGAGACATTGTTTTACAACTGTTTATCCGCACACGTACACACTGTGTTTAAAGTGTTTAACAAAGATAGATCAATATTTGTAAGTCTGAGGTCAAATTTTGATCACAACTCATACAATTTTGTTTATTGTACATGTTGATGCCTGTTTTATGACTCATGATTGGACAAATTTTTTAAAAATTATATTTGTAAAATCTCAGCGATATTGAAATGAGTAATTCCAACGTTTCGTTCGGCAATCTGGTCCGAACTTCTTCAGGGAAATTAATCGAAATTAACATAACAGAGGTTTATATATAAAAGGAACATCTCTTATTTTTAAAAAATTTGTCCAATCATGAGTCATAAAACAGGCATCAACATGTACAATAAACAAAATTGTATGAGTTGTGATCAAAATTTGACCTCAGACTTACAAATATTGATCTATCTTTGTTAAACACTTTAAACACAGTGTGTACGTGTGCCCAAATATTTTAGAACTATTCTGTCAAATCTTGACTACAGTTCATTTGACTTATTTTGCAATCGAATTAAATTAACAAAGAAACTATGTAATTGGCACAATCATCGTGTTTCCACTCTCCGGTGTCTGCAACAGAATGTGTACCCTAAATCCGTAGCTGTCCAGTCAACTGACAACTCCAGTAGGTCGAATAAATCAGCTCAATTTTCAGAAAGAAGACAAAGTCATGAGTTTGACAGGGCGCTTCAACTAAACTCTAATCCTAAACACCCTAATCTTGAAAAAAACGTCTAATCATAAGATTCTAGATACTAACAGTTTGAACAGACATGAAGGTGTGATGTTAGCTGACGCATAGGAAATCCTGATTAATAAATAAGAATGGATATGTATCACTAACTAATAATACTTGATCAAAGTTCCTGACTGTCTATATCTACTTATGGAGACGTTGAGACATTGTTTTACAACTGTTTATCCGCACACGTACACACTGTGTTTAAAGTGTTTAACAAAGATAGATCAATATTTGTAAGTCTGAGGTCAAATTTTGATCACAACTCATACAATTTTGTTTATTGTACATGTTGATGCCTGTTTTATGACTCATGATTGGACAAATTTTTTAAAAATTATATTTGTAAAATCTCAGCGATATTGAAATGAGTAATTCCAACGTTTCGTTCGGCAATCTGGTCCGAACTTCTTCAGGGAAATTAATCGAAATTAACATAACAGAGGTTTATATATAAAAGGAACATCTCTTATTTTTAAAAAATTTGTCCAATCATGAGTCATAAAACAGGCATCAACATGTACAATAAACAAAATTGTATGAGTTGTGATCAAAATTTGACCTCAGACTTACAAATATTGATCTATCTTTGTTAAACACTTTAAACACAGTGTGTACGTGTGCCCAAATATTTTAGAACTATTCTGTCAAATCTTGACTACAGTTCATTTGACTTATTTTGCAATCGAATTAAATTAACAAAGAAACTATGTAATTGGCACAATCATCGTGTTTCCACTCTCCGGTGTCTGCAACAGAATGTGTACCCTAAATCCGTAGCTGTCCAGTCAACTGACAACTCCAGTAGGTCGAATAAATCAGCTCAATTTTCAGAAAGAAGACAAAGTCATGAGTTTGACAGGGCGCTTCAACTAAACTCTAATCCTAAACACCCTAATCTTGAAAAAAACGTCTAATCATAAGATTCTAGATACTAACAGTTTGAACAGACATGAAGGTGTGATGTTAGCTGACGCATAGGAAATCCTGATTAATAAATAAGAATGGATATGTATCACTAACTAATAATACTTGATCAAAGTTCCTGACTGTCTATATCTACTTATGGAGACGTTGAGACATTGTTTTACAACTGTTTATCCGCACACGTACACACTGTGTTTAAAGTGTTTAACAAAGATAGATCAATATTTGTAAGTCTGAGGTCAAATTTTGATCACAACTCATACAATTTTGTTTATTGTACATGTTGATGCCTGTTTTATGACTCATGATTGGACAAATTTTTTAAAAATTATATTTGTAAAATCTCAGCGATATTGAAATGAGTAATTCCAACGTTTCGTTCGGCAATCTGGTCCGAACTTCTTCAGGGAAATTAATCGAAATTAACATAACAGAGGTTTATATATAAAAGGAACATCTCTTATTTTTAAAAAATTTGTCCAATCATGAGTCATAAAACAGGCATCAACATGTACAATAAACAAAATTGTATGAGTTGTGATCAAAATTTGACCTCAGACTTACAAATATTGATCTATCTTTGTTAAACACTTTAAACACAGTGTGTACGTGTGCCCAAATATTTTAGAACTATTCTGTCAAATCTTGACTACAGTTCATTTGACTTATTTTGCAATCGAATTAAATTAACAAAGAAACTATGTAATTGGCACAATCATCGTGTTTCCACTCTCCGGTGTCTGCAACAGAATGTGTACCCTAAATCCGTAGCTGTCCAGTCAACTGACAACTCCAGTAGGTCGAATAAATCAGCTCAATTTTCAGAAAGAAGACAAAGTCATGAGTTTGACAGGGCGCTTCAACTAAACTCTAATCCTAAACACCATAATCTTGAAAAAAACGTCTAATCATAAGATTCTAGATACTAACAGTTTGAACAGACATGAAGGTGTGATGTTAGCTGACGCATAGGAAATCCTGATTAATAAATAAGAATGGATATGTATCACTAACTAATAATACTTGATCAAAGTTCCTGACTGTCTATATCTACTTATGGAGACGTTAAGACATTGTTTTACAACTGTTTATCCGCACACGTACACACTGTGTTTAAAGTGTTTAACAAAGATAGATCAATATTTGTAAGTCTGAGGTCAAATTTTGATCACAACTCATACAATTTTGTTTATTGTACATGTTGATGCCTGTTTTATGACTCATGATTGGACAAATTTTTTAAAAATAAGAGATGTTCCTTCTATATATAAACGTCTGTTATGTTAATTTCGAATTATTTCCCTGAAGAAGTTCGGATCAGATTGCCGAACGAAACGTTGGAATTACTCATTTCAATATCGCTGAGACTTTACAAATATAATTTTTACAAATAACTACAAAGATCACCAGGTCTCATGCAATAACTATGTTTTATAACCGGGAAGGTAAAGGATTAAAGCGAAAGCGGAAATCATTGTCAGGAACGCAAATGTCATTGTAAGCAAAATACTCTTGAGTGACGGTGGTATGTCTGTCTAACTACGTTTTTGCGTAATACCGTTTAGTGCGATGTTTTCGTTTGGAGCGCCTATATCTTTAAAATAGGTCTTTTACCAAAGAGCAAGCCATTTCTCATGGCCATAAATAAAGACGAGACGAAGTGCTGTGTACTACTTATGCCTTATGACGGGATATCACATATATGATATGAATGACGTATAAGATACTCTTTCACATCGAATTAAATAAACTATCACCTAGAAAATATTGTGAATAGACTTCCTATAGAGTATTCAAATAATACCAACAGTAGTCAGAAAAACCCTGGTTGTTGGGAATTTCAACAAAGTAAAAATTTTCATTTTAAAAATTTATATTTTCTTAGGAAGCTGCTATTATAAATCAATGTTTTAGCAAACTGCTTTTAGCCACTTCGTCCCATAAGCTGTACAAAGACATAAGTGTGTCACACCACTGGCAAATTTCGGTAGGTGAGGTAGCTTCTGTTAACCGTGACATACACCAAATTACTTTTTCTTGTAGAGCAATCACCATACTTCTATGTTTGTGTTTCCTGTTGTTCGTGGGCAGTCCTGCTTGGATTTCATTACATTGCTTTGGTGCTCTAAAAAATAGAAAAACAATAAATGTGCTAAATAACAGCATGTTGGTGCTAACAAAAACTGTACCTTAAAAACATGCCAAAAATGACCAAATTTTCCAAGCTAATTTCGACTTCAAATCCTTCTCTAGCATAAGGGCAGTACAATAATCAACATATGTGGGAACAATATGGAGATATGCATACAGTGCATTCCACTGCACTACGGCGAGCTGTCATCTGAACTGATGACGACCAGTGGTGTCCGTCAAGGATGCCCATTATCCCCTTTTCTATTCAACTTTATCATAGATGTGTTAATGGACTTAACTCTAGGTGACTTCAGCGACTCAGGGATTGACTTGCTACTGGGGAATAATTTCGTTGACTTGGAATATGCAGACGATATAGTCCTCCTAGGCGAAGACGCTGACAAAATGCAGAGTCTTCTGAACACACTGAGCCGCAATCTACGAATGTTTGGCATGCGATTCGCTCCCGCCAAGTGCAAGATGATGTTACAGGACTGGACTACATCGACGCCTAGTTTAAAAATAGGAAGTGAAGTAGTAGAGCACGTTGACCGCTTCACTTATTTGGGAAGTACCATCAGCCTTTTCCAACGGGTTGATCTCTGACGAAATCTCAGCACGGATACAAGGGGCTCGTTCCGCATTTGCCAGTTTACGCCGACTCTGGCGTAGACGAGATGTTCGACTACCGACCAAAGGGCGGGTGTACTGCTCATCAGTCCGCTCCATCCTACTTTATGGCCAGCTGTGAGACCTGGCCACTGAGAGTGGAAGACATGAAAAGACTAGCTGTGTTTGATCATAGGTGTCTGCGTTCTGTCTCCCATGTGAAGTGGCATAATATAGTGAGCGATATTGAGGTTAGGCGCCGAGTGATAAGTAAGGAGGGGAAATCTATCGACGAAGTCGTGAAGCTACAAAGACTGAGATGGTTAGGACATGTGTTACGTATGCCAAGCCATCGCCTCCCTCGACGAGCAATGTTAGCGGATATACTACTTTACTTTACTTCGGCTATCGCCTACGGGAGGATGAGCCGGCTTCATGCACTCATGAAGTTTCATGGGAATTGGGTACGAGTGATGTCCCCAGCATCGCTCGGCCTTTTGTTTGAGAGTGCAGCTCTAGCCTTTACACAACCAAGTGTGGACCTACAAGGCAGTAGGAGTGGAGTAGAGAGTCTACTATCCATTGGCAGCCGGTGACCGGAGTCCGGTTCATACGCCTTTTTGAATGGGGCCAGACATCCAGCAAGCCCTTTGTCCATACGTCTGCCGGTGAGCTCCAGTGAGCTTCATACGCCAGTCGTTGGAGGTTTGGAATCAGGATTTAGCCATCTCCCCTAGACTGTCAGCCAATGGACAGTCAACCCGGTGGAGAGCGCCGGGCATCCGCTTTCGCCCTCTCACTTTGGTGAGAAACACCTCCTCCACGTGAAGGCAGTGAGTAGGACTTCCTCAGGAGAGGCTATGTAAGACGCCCGGTCATATGGGAGCATTTCAGGAGGTGTGCGGAGGGGTGGCCAACCCGCAGCGCAAGGCACCCACCTCCGACCATCCTGAGGCTTTGGAGGCTTAGCGGATATAGGGTCAGGCTGGAAAAAAGCTAGCGGTGGTCAAACAAAAACTTGGCACCAGTCAATGAAATCCACAACAGTTGGTCTAAGCCACGTAGGAAGGTGTAGACTTCCAGGCTGGGGTCCTCGGGACGGTAAAAATCTATGGTTGGAAACAATTGGTGACATGGCTCAAAATCGTTCTCAGTGGCGCAGATGCATCCACTCCTTGTGACTTATAATTTCCAATGAAACTGTTTTGTTCTTCGTTATTACTCCTTCTTTGTCTCACCCCTCTGCTCACAGTTTCTATTATGCTTTTCTTATACTTTCTTCTCTTGCTTGTGATACTAGTCAATACATTTGACTATTCCCACTTACGCTAATAAATGTGACCATAATCGATTATAGCAGCTTGAAGAGTGACTTATTACCAGGGGACAGCCTCGTCAGTCAAAGAATGCAGATGATACAGTCCTTCTAGGTGAAGACTAACAAACTAAGAGTCTTATACACACACTGAACAGATATCCAGGCATTTAGTGTGCAATTCGCCCTTGCCAAATATAAAATGGTACTGACCACTGAGTTTTAACATAGAAATTTGCACCGAAGTGCAGTAGTTCAAGTTGATATTGCAAGTTGAAATAGGCGTTAGTAAATCGTATTAATATAGATGACTTGCAAAAGTGTTTAAAAACCTTTTTCCATACCTTTTGATTGTTTTCGAGAGCGCTGAAACTCTAACGTTATCTTTATCAGGAGACGATAGTTCTGATGAGAGATCTTCAAACATTTCTGATGATTTGTTGCTGGCGATAGGCTGCTTTTTAGCGCTGACAGTATCACTGTCAATCTCCATGCAAGCAACGCAGTAATACTGGCCGCTTGGCTTCTGGAAAAGAATCGTCTAAACACGAGGATGTAAAAATAGACGCAGACATCAACAAACCTCGCATTTAGGACAAATTTCACTCAACATTTTCCATCCTTTGAGTAGATAGTGTCCCATAAGAGTTGAAATTTCATCTGATCGTTGTTGCTTGTTTTTAGATATCTCGTCTTTGTCGAGTGTTTTACCCATGATACCAGCATGCCCAAGACGATCCATGGTTTCACCTGAAAAGAGATACTTATTAAAATGTTTGAAAACTGACCAGACATCACATCCAGTTTAATGAGCAGCCAAACTAGCTATATACAAAGCCCTCGTATACTCTAATCTGGAATTTTGTACTGTGTTGTGTAATCAGAAGACAGTTTAGCCAACTCAGTGATGACTACTGATCAATAGAAAGACTTGCTGTCTTAGATTATAAGTATCTGCACTATGTCTCCCCTGTCTGATAGTACGATCTGGTGAACATTGCGGTTAGGTGCCGAGTATTAGGTAAGGAGGGAAGGTCACTCGGTGCAGTTGTGAAGTTACATCGATTGAGATGGATACAAAATGTCGAGTATGTCTAGTCATCGCCTTACTAAATAAGCAATGTTAGTTCACAGAGGATAAGGTTGGAAAAGAGCTGTTGGTGATATAACTAAAACCGAGTCAGGCCAATAAAATCCTTGACAGTCAGTATAAGCTACGTGGGGAGGCGTAAACTGCCTGGTTGGAGTCCTAGGCATTCCAGGAACCAATGTCTAGAGATAATCCGTTATATAGCTTGTAACAGATCTCAATGGCGCTGATGCATTCTCTCTTTATGTTTTGGTACATACATGAAACCTTGAGTTTCTTCTTTCTGCTTCACACGTCCGGTTATTATTGTTGTTTCGAGTCTCTTGCCACATGGTGTGGTAACTCGAACTACTGCACTTCTGTGCAAAGTTCGACGCTGAAACCAGTCAGTCAGATCAATAGAAAAACTATGAAGACAATGTCAAGCCGAAGTTAGAACTGCTATATCTGAGAAGTATGCTACATCTGAGTTCATGAACTACACAATGTGGATCGGTAGCCTGTCTCTTTTTCAAACAAAACTGAAGCACAAGGCTATATTAAAAACAATAAAGCACTTCTAAGGCTTCTAAGGGGATTTACATTACAAACACTTGGTACTACTTCACTTTTAGTATCCATTTTACAGGCTTATATAAGACATTACACTACCAACACCCAACTCACGAGGCCAGGCGTGGGCAATGGGTAAGGTCACACACGACCTTTGTAGAGAGGCTGAGCACTTCAAGGTCATGTATGCATATTGTGATTGGTAGATTTTAAATAAAGTATTATTATATTTCAATAGTTTACACACGATGATAAGCTTTATTATTGGTAATATTTCGAGCAAAATTACTGCCCGTGTTCACACCACTGTTAGAATTGTTTTATTCACACATTTATGATTTGTACTCATATATATAGTTCATTATTATTATTTTTTGCTCATTCATGTTTTTTTGTGCATATGTGTGTTCAAAATTATACTCCACATTCATTCATGTGTTTGTTTTAGAATTATATTCCAAGTTGTTGATAGTTGTACTGAGTCACCCTTGTTATTTGTACCGGTGTGACTTTAATGAATGTCGATTCTGTTATGAGTCTTTCTTTCCATTTGTTCATTTTTGTTTCTAGAATACACACATTGTCCCAATCGATATTGTGGTTTTTGTCCCATGCATGTGCAGCTATCGATGAATTTTTTTCAAGATTTTTGTAAGCTTGTGTCCCTGTTGGTTGACCTTTAGTTAGGCGTTTATGTTCATTCACTCTTATTTTGAGTGATCTGGACGTTTGCCCCACATATTTAGTTGGACAGTCAGTACAAGATATTTTATAAATCAAATTGTTTTTATCCATCATTTTTATGGGATCTTTCAGTTGATTTATCTTATTTTTGATTAGATTTGTCGGTTTAAAGGTTGTTCGAATGCCGATATTTTTGAGGTTTCCTTGTATTGCCTCTGATGTATCATTTTTGTATGGTATTGCGACTGTTTTTTTCCATTCTTCCTTCTTGTAATTCTCCGGTTTTACACTCTTTTTTTCTCTTTTTTATATTTTCTTTTATAAATTCTCTAGGGTAGTTGTTTTCGAGTAGCATTTTGAATAGGACTTTTATTTCTTTACGCTGGTCCTCTGTTGCTGTTGCAAGTCCCCGTATTCTATCTGCAAGACCTTGCATTAATCCTCGTTTTACCGAGAGTGGATGAGCTGAGTAATAATCAAGGAATATTCCAGAATGTGTGGCTTTTCTATATATCGTTGTTTTTACGCTACCATCTGTCACTCTTTGTAGTTTGCAGTCTAACATGGGCAGTTCTCCAATTTCATTCTCTGATTCCATAGTGAATTTTATTGAGTCGACGTGTCTGTTTATGTGTGAGAGAAGTTTCTCAGCATCGTTTTTATTCACTATCACTAGTATATCGTCTACATATCTCCACCAATATATTAGTGATGATCTAAACGGTTTAAGGGCATTCTCCTCCCAATAATCCATGAATATGTCAGCTGTAATTGGTGAGATAGGCGATCCCATAGCTACTCCCTCATTTTGTTGGTATATTTTTCCTTCGAACGTGAAACATGTTGTCGTCAGACTTTTACTTTGCGTAAACGCTGCGGCTAATACGTAGCACATGTTACTGAGGCGGGCTTTAAAATGATAGTAATAAAAGTCGCATAAACATTACATTTTTTCAGCTTAAGGAGACAAGTTAACGCATGTATAGATTTTACAGATGTGACATGCATGTGGACCCACTAAAAAGTGAATATTATTGGGTAACTTAATCAAAGAATTATAAGGTTTGAATATTTTGTCTTTTTCAGTTTATTGTAACGGACAGAGAGGAGAGGCATTAGTGTAATATTTGCATTTTGCAGAAGACAAACTTTGAAAGATAAATTGGAAGTTCTAGGATTCTTCAAGTTTATTACAAGACATATGGACTATTCTTACCGATTCTGCTATTGTTCCCTCCCTTGTTCACATATTCATTGTTGCTAAGATTAGGAATCGTTCACCTGAGGTAAGATTAATTCACCTGATATGTATATATCCTTAGATATTTCTCAGTTTGGCCGGAGGTGGTCAAAGGAATGCAATCTCAATCTTTGTTTGGAAAGATCATAACCAGTTTCTTCTGAAGGATCAGGTGGTGCTGAAAGCTGTAAAGACAGGTCCAGTGTCACAATCATCTGAGGGAAACTGATCCACAAATTGTGGATAAAACGATTAGTGGACTTTAATTTGACTATGATGTAGCCATAGAGAACTACAACTGCGATTTTTTCCACTGAATTGTTATAAACCCTTTTTAATGTGAATATGTACTGTTTAACTGTTATTTTGTAAATATATGCATTTATGTCGACTACATGTATGTCTCTTAATTATCATTTCGATGACATTGCATAGTTAACGAAGTTGATAGGCAACGTAGTAATACCTGTGTGAAATGCGTGATAATCGTAAACCGTTATTATTTCCTCAGTGCGTCATCAATCCTCGCATGAAATGTTTCAGTATAATCCAATCCGGCTGCGTAAAAGATTATCTTTCATTAGGGCTTGCGAACAAATATACGTTGAGCTTAGGTTTGTTTTGCGATTACTACGTATACATAATAACAGATGTAGGACGGCTACGTACATCGAAAATAACGTGTTATAGGTATATCCTATTGAAGGAAATTTTCCTAGTATTCTCACGTTACGGAAATTATCATTCTTTCAAATTAAATCATTACGAATTCCAAAACCGTCTACATCACCATTCCTTCGACAAGCAAAGGGAAGTAGTAGTGAATTCTTTAAAGAACACCGTTAAAACATTAAAGGGATATTTATTTTGATAAATAATTTTATAATATCACAAAGATTCCAACGATAACGCGCAAATTCTTCAATTGCACTTCATTAAAGCCTCCAAATAAAGTGAACCACTCCGTAAATTACAATTGCAACCTGCAAATCAACAAAAGTAAGACATCCGTTAACAAATAATTAGCAATACGAAAATACTTCAAACCAAGGTAACTTTTAAGAAAAATTTGTTTATTAACTGTTATCTTGCGAATAAATCAACTAACACTCCTTTATAGCTTAAAACTCTTCTGACTGTTACAGAGTTTTCATACCTCAGAGATTCAAAACACCCCTTCAGAATTTCTCAAAATATACATCAATTACCTAATTTATTTCGTTTTTCTTAACGTAATCAACAATTTACACAGAGTTTTAACATTCCACATGCAAAGAAATAACGAAATTCGATGACAGATACATGTTCACTCAAACTGCTGAAAGCGTCTACTTTCCACGATTTTTCTAAGTTTTTTCGTTAAAATATGGTATTTATAATGCATTTCAGTTGAAAAAACACCTGAAAACGAGGTAGAACAACCCAAACACATCATCGCGATAACACATAACGGCATCCTGCGTGTGCCTTTATCCATTGCTCCAGGCGTGCATGGGTAAGATTTGAAACTGAGGCTTCGGAAGCTACACTTCAATATCCAATATCCTGATTACGAGCTATTTTAAACCAGTGATTTCCTTGAGCTCGCTTCTTGATTGTGAGGTAGAGGTTCCAGATCTTCGGTGAGCTGCTGCGTAGTAAGTCCCGCCACTCGACTGCTTTAGCTCTGGTAGACTCCAATAGGAGTGGTGCGGGGACTGGTCAAGATGTGGTTTGTAGTATGCAGTATGTTAGGACTGTGTTGCTGCCGTGGATGGAGTTTGACCTAACTCCCGTTGGTCATTCGGTGTAGTCATAAAAGCAGAATAGTAATAATAATAGGTTGTAGTGTAGATGATATGGGTTGAGATAAGTGAAATAATAAAGGTGACCTAAGGAAAAGATAGAGTAGTCGATACAGTGAGAGAAGGGAGAACAGGTCGTGGGGATTTAGTTTGTACGCTTATCCATTGACAGTGTGGTTTTAAGTTTTATGTGGATAAGCCATTGAGACACAAACCTCGCATTTCTGCATGATTGTCTAGCTTCCGCTTAAAAATCTCCAGAGATGGCACTGTAGTCACGGCCGCCGGTAAAGCATTCCAGAGGCGGCAAACTCGAAGCGAAAAGAAATGTGATCGCACTCGAGTCTTTGGTCCCTGGTGTGCTATCCTTAGCGGGTTACCTCGTGGAAGCCTATAATCATTAACGGCCGGATGCTTTTATTTGAGTGGGTCTGGTCATTTAAGATCTGGTAGACGGTGATGAGGTCTCCCCTGTGCCTACGGTAACGAAGTGTGAAAAGACCTAATTTCTTTAGTCGTCACTCGTATGATTTGTTGCGGAGGCCGATCACCCATTTTGTCGCTCGTCTCTGGACACTTTCTAGAATGTTAGCATCCCTTTTGAGCAGCGGAGGTGCAATGATATTATGCACCTCAAGGTGTGGTCTCATATATGTCTTATATAACCTTAAGAACAGTTCGGGAGTAAGAGCTCCCATAAACAAACGTGTCAAAATGATTGAAATGAAACAATCACCATTTGTCTTCATGCAACTTCCCAATGATTAAATATATATTGTATAATATTTGGACTGAAATGTTAATAATAATAATAATTTTTATTTCTGTAACAGAAACCAGCCATTTTTACAGGCATGAACATATGTACACTTATGAAAACTTATAGAATATATAATATGATTTGTTAATTTAGAAATAAGTTGAATACTGGTAAATGTAAGAGAAACATTTAAAATGAAGTGTGCAAATAAGGAAATAGATATAGCGTCAAATCTAAACTGTAATTGAAAAAAATACATGTCAATTTCACGCGGGAATCATAAATGATTGCGTTAGTTGGGAAGGTAAGTAGCATTTCTGTACAGGTGCTGACGTGATACATAAGAGATGCAGAATAAACAATAATTATCAGTAAATCATTCAGAAAGAGTTTTAAAGTCTATTAAACTTTAAATTCACCTGTGAGTTCATCACATTTGTAACATTTCCAGTTGTTTATGAGACCCACTTTGAACTTGTCAGCAGATTTCATAATACCGATGATCCCGTTATTCACCAGATGAGCTAGCAATATCACGAATAAGTAGAGAATTGCAGCGCTGTATCAGTACCTTCGTTGAAAGCAGTATCTTTGAAAAGAGAAGAAGACACAAGAAAACCGGCAGACAGGTGCAGAAGTATATAAAAGGTGTTAATAATTCAAAATATATAACAGGCATGGGGTTCATCATTTTTTATTGTTTTTTTTCAAGAAATATTATTTTCCCGATATTTTACGGTCATTTCTGCGAACAATTAGTTTAAAGTGAAAGACAGGTG